ACCCTGAGCTGTGTGCCGTAACAGGGAGATTTATATATTGGACTTTTATTTTATTTTATCTTATATATTTTATTGGATACAACCCGAGCTGTAATTGAATTTACACGCTCACAATATGTATTGATATGAAAATCAATGTATTCAAAATCATTAAAAATAATAACAATAAAAGAAAATACAATAAAAACCCAAATTTACCACCAAAAGCTGATTTGGCATTCAATCAACTTTGTATTTGGGTAGAATTGGAGGATATTTTACTAATATTTTTCAAGCAACCAAATTGATTTGGTTACTTAATGCCTTGGGTTACTACAGCATATAAATGTAAAAATGTTCTAAATACCCTTTATTATTGCAACATTTAAAGGCTAATATACCCTTTAAAGAAGAGATATTGGCAAAAAATATGATGTTTTAATTAAAACCTTAGTAAATGAACTAAATGAACTTTAATGGATTGGTGTTAAAATAATTACTTTCAGTGTAATTGGAAAAAAAAAATTCTTTTTGAAAAATGTCAATGAAATAAAACTTTAGACATAAAAAAATTTCACTGCCCTATTCTGTAAAACAATATGGTTCATGTACTGTTTTCCCATACATTTCCTGTATATTTTCAGTCAATAATTTTTTATAGGGCTGCTACTTCTCTTTCACCTTGGGGAACCAAAATTTTTGGATCAAAAGTGTATTTATTTTATTTGAAAAGTTTACAAAGTAAAAATGTTATTTTTGTTAAAATTTATGAATTTCAAGAGGGATTTGTGAAATCTTAGAGTGTAACATCCACATTGAATCCCTTCTGGTGTGTAAAATTGAACAGGCGTGTGTAACATATTAACCAATCAAATTTTGAATTTATGGAGATAGTTTCTAAATTTATACTAGTTACACAACGAAATTTACTCACTACCCCTTTCCCTAATTACAGTCAGGAATTTTGTTAAATTTGGTATTTCTTAATTTATAACAGTTGTGTGACATGTCCTTTCAAATTATTTTCTATATTAAATAAAAAATTTCTAATTCATGTCACATGAATTTTTTTTAAAATATCTCGTTATTTTTATAATAAACTCCAACTTCGTTGTTAGAGTAAAATGAAAATACTACATTAAAGCTTTCTAATGAATACTCTTTCATATTGAAAGGTCTCATCTATATAAATCTATGGCTATTCAAAAATGGTGTTACTTTTTCACTTCAAGGCTCAGATTATTTTTCAATATCACTTTAAAAGACCTGATAGTGACTGAAGAGGTGTAAAATACTCTAAGCTTTCATATGGTCATTACTTTATGGGGGTGTTTGTTAATAAGTTTTAGAGAGGTTCGCGAAAAACTATTTTATAGAAATTAATAGCATGTCAAGAATTTTATGCAGATTGGATTCAAAAAAAGTTTTTTAAAAAAAGAAACCAAGTTTACAATCTATTATTTTATGAAAGTAAGTAATAAATATTATAGGAAAAAATGAATAACTATATTATAAAGAATTATTGTTTATATATTTATTTATCTGGGAGAGAATGTAATTATTAATATTAAAATCTCAATTTGTCTAGGAGAGTGGCATTATTAATATTAAAAGGTATTATTTATCTCAATTAACCTAGGAGATTTTCTTTTTCCAAAGGTTAATGGTTAAATCAGAAAGAATTGTTATGTGGCCATATTTAGTGATGTATGATCAGAAAGAATTGCACGACTGTATTTTATTTATTATATCTATTATACTATTAATTATTCATTACTTTTTTTTAGATCTAGCAGTGTACGATCAGAAAGAACTGTTACGCGATCATATTATATTTATTATTAATTATTTATAGATAGAAAATTCAACATCAAAATTCTAGTTGATACATTCTTGTAATAACAATTATACTAGAGGCAATCAAATTAGTTATTATTATAAATTAAAAGGTATTTATTTATTTATCAAATATTTAAATAATGGTTTATTGTTACGCGAATACCAAAGTAATAACTTGACATTCATTGTTACGCGGCCATCAACATATTATTATTATCTTCATTACAATTAATGGTGTATTATTGTTTCTAATATGTAAAAAAATAATGTGAAAAAAAGAAAAATATTAATATATATGAATGAATGAATGAATTTATTTACAAATAAAAAAAATTCTTTTTACTCGAATGATTAAAAATCCACCTTTGAACAATTTAATAATAATAGCACCTGGTGCCTACCAATAACATGGTCATGGTCTGTCAAGTAAAAATTTCAATAATTATTGACTATAAGAATTAATAATTAAATTTGTTACAATCACGTTACTAGTGAGAACAAGGTTTGATTGTATATAGTATTGATCCAATACTTTCTTCCAGGGATTCATGAATTGAGATTAGTTAGCCTTTGACATTTCAATTTTTATTATCATCAAATCTATTAAATAAACTCATACAACACCTCTCTATCTGTAATTCTTGTATCTGATTAATTCCATCAACTCCTTATATCAGTATGATTTATTGCTTATAAAAAATCTTGATCATTTTTCACACCATAATAAAGTTTTACTATGAAATGTTTTGTCTCTACAATTATTTAAAAAAAAATTTATTCATATATTAATATTAGTATAAACCATATTTTGTTTAAAATAAATGATAGTATAAAGACATACCTTAGAAAGTAAAATGAACACGATTCTATAATATTTATAATAATAATTTAGGCATTTTAATTTATCTTTGCACGCACTAACAAATTTCTATATATATGAATACAAAGTCAAAATTTGACTTTAAGGCTGAGATTATTTTCAGTTTTATTAACAACTTGCTTAGAGGCAATCAAATTAGCTATTATTATAAATTAAAAGGTATTTATTTATTTATCAAATATTTAAACAATGGTTTATTGTTACGCGAATACCAAAGTAATAACTTGACATTCATTGTTACGCGGCCATCAACATATTATTATTATCTTCATTACAATTAATGGTGTATTATTGTTTCTAATATGTAAAAAAATAATGCGAAAAAAAGAAAAATATTAATATATATGAATGAATGAATGAATTTATTCACAAATAAAAAAAATTCTTTTTACTCGAATGATTAAAAATCCACCTTTGAACAATTTAATAATAATAGCACCTGGTGCCTACCAATAACATGGTCATGGTCTGTCAAGTAAAAATTTCAATAATTATTGACTATAAGAATTAATAATTAAATTTGTTACAATCACGTTACTAGTGAGAACAAGGTTTGACTGTATATAGTATTGATCCAATACTTTCTTCCAGGGATTCAT